CCAAAACCCGAAATCCCAAACCCTACGTAAACCCTAAACCTCAAACCCCCAACCCCTAAAGCCAAAACCCGAAACCCCAAACACTGACGCCCAACCCCAGACCTAACTCTACGCAGGTTTGATTTAAGCTTTCGGCCCGTTCGGCTTGAGGATTGCCGAGTTGGGGGCTTAGGATTTAGGGGTTCAGGGTTTAGGGTTTAGGGGTTTAGGGTTTAGGGTTTAGGGTTTTAGGTAGGGTTTAGGGTTTAGGGTTTAGGGGCCCTGAACCCTAGTGTAGGGCCCGTAATAACTAGAATACTTTTTTTTGTTTGGGGGGGATCCTTATTTTAATTAGGCCCATATTATTAAACCCAACCCCCAAAACCTTAAACCCTATAAACCCAAGACCGTTAGTGGCTCGGTCTTCGGGGTTTAGGGCTTGTAGGGTTTGCGGTCAGGATTATTATTACTGAGCTCGGCCATACACGAACACTCAAACACCGAAGATGTGAAACCCAGGGTGCCAGTCTCTGCGGCACGCCCTAATCTGGGTTCTTGTTAAGGGATTTAATTTAAGTTGCCATAATAAGGAAACCATATTATTTACTATAGATCCCCAGTATGGTAACTTAAATTAAATCCCTTAACAAGAACCCAGTAATTAAACCCTATGCCCTAAACGCCTCTGGTTCGCGTTCGTCTTGATCACAATGCCTTTGTGAAAGCTGGGGCCTTGGCAGCGAGAGGCCCCGAACCCATGCAAAAACTCCCAAAACCCGAAGGATTAAGGGTTTATGGGGTTTAGGGTTTAGACCCTTAACTCCAAAACCCGAAACAAAGGCAGCCGCAAGAGCAATCGGCCACATTTAGCTTCGTACACGGGCCTGAGAAAACTTAGAGCAGAAGAGGGTCTGGCAGTAAGTATGCAGTGGTATACTTGTGTAGCGACTTTACCTTTTCCGGCGAGGGTTTAGGGTTTTTTTACATTGCAGCTACCATGTTGCTGGCAGTGACTTCGCTAGCGCACTAAAGCTCCAACCCCCTACGACTATAGGCCCCAAACCCTAAACTGCTTATTATATATATATATATATATAGGACGTAATAATTAGAATTGGGTTCGGGGGTATACTAAACTATACTTGTAAAAAGGAACCCCCAACAGAGTATTGGTAATTAGTTCTGCCCCTGTTTCAATAACAACTGCCCGCTCGTTGTGGATACAAGACACGCACCGAAGGTCTTGAAGCTATCAACAACGAACTCCTTTGCGCAACCGTTTTACTAAAACTTCCGCGGCCAGGAAAATCGATGTTGCAGCACCTGATGGAGCAAAATGAAGGTTCAGGGTGTAGAGTTTCAGGATTGTAAGCTTGCCGACGACCCCAACCGGAAGACCCTCTTTGGGCAGTTAATTGTTAGAATTTGGAACTGGGTACTGCTCTCATACGTACACAGAACGGCACAGCGATCTGCGGCTGGGCGTTTACAGCCAGGGACGTGCGTGAAGTGTTTCTCTTTCTCTTTGTTCTGCCCATGGCGCTCCAGCATCCAGCGGCCGATGTTGTCGTGCTGCATGGTCCGCAGAGCCGGCTAATGAAGAAAGGCTTTCGGGCATTTCAGGGTTGACTGCTCCATAAGGTGCCTGGTCCATCCCCTCCGGATCCTGGCTGAGGTAGTTGAGTTTGTATTGGTAGAACTTCACTGCTTTTTGCAGGCCAACCTGTCATGCAGAAACCCGGTCGAAAACGATTGGCTCAACATCCATGGTCTTGGAGGCAGGCTCCTCCTCCATCTTCATATCTGTCATCACCATCGCATGCACATCGTACCCGAGCAGCAGGCAAGCAGTGCAAATGACAAAAAAACATGTCGTTAGTCAACTGTTACAGACCAGCGTCCGGAGTCCATTATCATGATCACAGTGCATATGATGTAACAGCAATGTTTATGATGACTGTGACCGGACATATGTTAACACAGTCAATGTCCAAGCCTCTTCATCAACCCAGAAGAAGCCCTAAACATCCCTAAACCGCAAGACCCCAACAATCCCTTCTAAAACCCTCTGAGTCCACACTATACTACCCTGCTAGACACCCTTTAGATGAATCGTAAACCCTGACAAAACACAACGAATCCACATCAAACTCTAAATCCACAACCCCGACTCCCAATGCCCTGAACCGTTCGAAGGCTCACTGGCCCAAAACCCAAGGACATAAAGTTGAAACTTTCAGAATCGACTACCTTTTAAGAACCCCAAAAGTTGAAAAGTAGAGTTTACAGCCAATAAGAAGGAGCCTTAAACCCTAAACCCTAAAGAGCTGGGTTGCTGACGGTGTTCTGCCTGCCACGGGGCGGTGCAAGGCGCTGGGTAGACTTTGAGTGCTTTTGGGTTTTAGGCTTTCTTTGAGGGGGTACGGTTTACTATGGAGGCCTGAAGAATGAGAATAGGGTTTGGGGCTCCTTTAATAGCGTAATTATAATAAGGAACCCCCAAAACAATGTTGGTAATTATTTTGGCTTCTCTATTAAGTTTGGATTTTAGGGTTTAGTTGGTTTTCGGGGGGGCTTTCGGCTTTTGGGCTTTCGGTGCAATAGACTCGATCACGACGAAGCGAAATGTGCAGAAACATGGGGGGTTTAGGGTCTGGGGATGGAGGGCGTGCATACTGTTTGTGTTTAGGGTTTAGGGTTTAGGGGCGTAGGGTTTAGGGTTTAGGGTATAGGTTTGAGGAGCCAATGAGACCGACACTTCCATGATTCGCCAGAAGCACATTTAACGACACAACAGGTTGCAAGACTATAAAGAACTTCAGGTTTACACAGGGGCTAAGGAACACCGCCCTCTACATTGCATAGACAAGTGGACTCTTAAGGCATCCTGGGCCCTAGACCCTAAACTTGTTTAGGGGTTTAGGGTTTAGGGTTTAGGGTTTAGGGTTTAGGGGGGTCTTTTTGGGGTTGAGGCTGTGATGATGACGGACATAACGAAGGTCCGGTCATTTTAGGCCCGGTGGTCAGTTAGTTGCATTCTACATGGGGCGACTTCGTTCTCTAACATAGGGGCCATCATAATTAGAACAAGGTCTTGGGGTATTTATATATTGCGCAACAGTGCACCCTAAGCTCCCTAACTGGGCCAAGCCTCAATGAAGGCACAAAGTCCATGACTTGACTTTATTCCTCTTTGCGCACAGGCTCCAAAGTAATTCTTGGAGATCCTCTTTCAAGGACTGGAGCGGAAACAAGCGAAAGACTTCAAGACAGTCCGTCCTAGGCAGGACGCCTAAACCCCTAAACCGTACACCGGAATTGCTTGTGTTTTGGGGGGGGGGGGGTCGGTGGCACTTAGAGCTCAGCGACAACTCAACTTCAAGGTTTCGGGTTTAGGGTTCCGAACTCCACAGAAGTTCAGCCATAAATGCACCAGAAACCCAATTACTCTGAACCTTGTTTTGGGTTTGTGGTTTCTGAACCTTGTTTAGGTTTAGGGAAATCCCTTCTGAAACCCATAAACCATCCCTAAACCCTACCTTAAGAACCTAAAACCCACTTTTTTGTAGGTTCTTACTATAAACCTTAATATGGGATTTACAGGGACCCTACAAAAAAGTAGATTTTGGGTTCTTAAGGTACACCCTAAAGCTGAAAGGCAGGACCTGGTGCTTGGCCATGTAGTTCGGATGAACGCCATGGGCACAGTCCTCGGTTTAAGGGTTAAGGGTTAAGGGTTTAGGGTTTAGGGCTTAGGGTTTAGGGTTTAGGGTTTAGGGTTTAGGGTTTAGGGTAAAACGGCCAGGCTCTTGGCTCTGGGGCTTTCGGGGTGCAGGGTCCCAAGGCTACAAACCCAAAGGGTCTAAGTACCCATATAGTAGATATTTTTGGGCCCCAAAGTATCTACCATATAGGTACTTAGACCCCTTGGAAAAATGTTTATGCTGTGGCTCTAGGGTGTTTATAGTTTAGGGTTTAGGCTTTGGGGAAACTTTGGGGGAGTCGCGTCTTAAGGTCCGCGGTGTTTTCGGGTTGCGGAAGGTGAGGGTTGTTGAAACACTGCAATACAAGCTTTAGGGTTTAAACTTTAAGGTTTAAGGTTTGGGCCTTACTGTTTAGGAATATCTCCCAGGATTCATTTGACATTCAACAAACGCCCAAAGCTCCGCAGGACGCATGCTACGAATGTCCGACATCAAGACATCGATGAGGCACACAACCTTCAATCATGCTTCGAGTGGTCTAGGGTCCACCCAACGACCCCATAGTAATTCGTTCCTTTTTGGGATTACCTTATAGGATTCTAAATATGAACCCCAAAAGGAACTACTATGGGGTGCTCCGCTATATTGAACAAGACCAAGCTGAAACCTTCTACAAATTCCGCATGAAGTGAGGTTACAGTTCTTAATACCCCTGGCGCCCCAAATAACACCCAAAACGAAATCCTTAACATAAACCCCTACTTCATCTACACCCTCTTGCTATATAAGCCTGCTTGAAAGACTGAGAGCGGCACGGCAGATATGAGATAGCTCCTGGTAAACGGGTTTGGCACAAGTTCGTGCTCAGACTCTTAACCCTACTCCGTCAAGAGTTCGCGCAGAGAGTTTCGGAGTGTTTTGACCCTAAACCCTAAACCCTAAAGTTTAGAGGGGGAGGGACCATGGTTCAGGAAGTCAAGGTCGAAGGTTTCGCTGTCAAGCCCTCAGGGTCCATGTACTCATATAGCATATACTATGGCATATACCATGGGCCTTAAAGTACCTGTATAGGGACTACATTAAGGCCAATGTATGTACTATATCCCTAAACCCTAAACCCTAAACCCACAAACCCCTAAACCCATGAGTACATGGACCCTTAGGGAAGGATATCTGGCTTTGGCGTTCGAGGATTGAAGGCTTCAGATGCTTTTGATGCCTGCGGTGTTTAGGGTTTAGGATTTAGGGTTTAGGGTTTGGGGCCCGGACACCTCAGAGTACGTGGTAGTTGTTCAAAAACCGCCGATAAGGCCATGCGTTGTAGGCTGCCTCTTGCACGATAGCCCCCAAAGCATGAGCCATATAATCCCTAACTCTAAGCCCAGAGTCCATAATGTTTACTTCGAGGATCAGAGGACCTGGCATGTCAGGATATAAGTAGCCTCTTTGGCGTTATGCGTGAACAGAAGTGTGTTTGCCTGATGTATCAGAATAGCCACACTTACTAAGTCCCCTGATCCTCCACATAAAGATCCAGGACGAACAATTTCGTAACCTTACCTCAACCCTCTCACCCACGTCCCTGAAACACAATATCCGCCTGTCTGACTGTCTGTTAATATGCAAGTGCGCCGGCACTAGCCTTTAGATGATATGCGATCTGACCCCAAAATCAACCCCAAATACTAGGTCACACCCTGAATTCTTGGGGCTAACTTAACCCTTTCGACAAATTGGCCTTGCTAACTAATGAGATCCGGGTCCCTTTTAGAGGGTTCTTGTATGTTCTTTTGTAACGTGCTGTATACGCGTGCAATATAAGGGCCTCATGACAAACAGAATGGGGTGTGTGGGGGTGGGGGGCATATTATACTCTAATTTTGAAGGAAGAATCTTCGAATTATGACTAGGTTCCCCAGTAAACCCTGTATAGTAAGGGTACCCTTTTTCCTAACATTCGGTGTTAATAGGGAAACCCTAGAACAAAAAGGGCAAAAGGGTACTACTGGTGACCCTAGATGAAGCCCCCTGTATGAACTGAAAAAAAACTATGGAACCCTTGGTTCCAGGGGTGTTGGGGTTTAGGGTTTAGGGTTTAGGGATTAGGGTTTAGGGATTAGGGTTTAGGGTTTAGGGTTCCCGGGGTGTTGGGGTTCCGGGGGGAAAGGCCCCGCAGTGGCCTGGCGTAAAGCTCCGGCCGGGCGACAGGCTCTACGTCCAACCTGGGGTTTAGGGTTTAGGGTTTAGGAGCCTAAACCCTAAACCCTAAACCCCTATATGTACATAAACCCTAAACCCTAAACCCCTACGATTATAAACTCTAAACCCCAAACCCTTCAATAAACCCTAAACCCTAAAGCGCAAAACCCGGAAGACTTTCGATTTCGGGCCATGAATTCTGACAGGGAAGGATCCCCCAGGGCCCATATACCTACAAAGTATATGGGTAGTTCTCTAAAGTATGGTCCCTTTGTGGGGTCCTTTTCAGGGCTCCTTAGAGGGATCTATAAGGGTTTCTCGGGTAGTTCTCTAAATTCGGGTCCCTTTTAGGATCCTGTTTATAAGGGTGCCGTACTACATTGGGGACTTAAAAAGGGACCCTAATTGCTTTCTCTTGACAGAGGTTCCTATATATATATATATATATATATCTATCTATCTATCTATAGATAGAGGCACCTTTAAGGCCACAGTATACTGTATGGTTACATGGACTCTGGGTGGAACAGCTCTTGGAGCAAGGCCTCGCAGCCTGCTAAATTGTCGGGGAAGCTTGTTGGATTCTAGTTTCGAGCCACAGATTCTAAGGGTCCATGTACTCATATAGCATATACATGGGCCTTAAAGTACTTATATAGGGACTACATTAAGGCCAACGTATATGCTACATGAGTACATGGACCCTTAGGGAGAGTCATGTGGTAGGTCTGAGGCCTGCAAGCGTTCTTTGCTGTGCAGCTGCTGGCAATTGTGGGCGTTGAAGGTTTAGAGGATCTAAAGTTCAAGCTGGTTTGGGGTCTAGGCCCAGCTGATCAATTGCTGTTAGTTCCTGATACGTTATTCTTGTGTCCAGCTTCTAAAAGCCCTCAGCTCAAAGCATGCAAAGCTAGATCCGTGCCTTGAACATTAAGCACCAAACTACTTCTGACAGCTATCTACCTTTGGGTTGTGGCTCGCTCCGTTTGGATTCTGGCATGAAATCACAAAAACCAAACTCGGCTTTGCAGGGCTGCCTCAACTACCTGTAAATTTTCCACATGGTTTACATGAAGATTCACATGGGTAGTTGTCAAAATTATGGTCCCTTTTGGGGTACCCTCAATAATAGGTGCCGTATTATAATAAGGACCCCTAAACCCTAAACCCTAAACCCATTTTGACAACCACCCACATTGATGAGTCTGGATTTCAAGCCTCATGCCAGAAGCCGGCTGGCATCATGGCAGCAGTACGGTCAACCACACATAAAGACGTAAACAGTAAACACCACATGGGGGTTTCCGAAAATAGGGGACCCTAATATAGTACCCTAACTAACAGGATCCCTATTACAGTATAAGGACCCCCAAAATAAGGTACCCTAATTTTCTGAAACTCCCACATAAAGACGTAAACACCATAGAGCAAATTGAGGGGCTGCACTTTGGGGGTGTTGGGGGCAAGCTGCAGCCACTTCGCATGGCTCAATGTACCTGACACCTGTATACCATGTGGTCGTTTGGACCCGGAGGGGCTAAAGCAAAATATAACCCCAGCTAAGACTCTGTGGTTACAACTTATACCGACTTTTACTAAGCCCCTGATGGGCGAATAGGATGGGCTGCACTGCATTATGTCGTTGGAGTTTAAGGTCCAGCGTTTGGAGCGCGTTCAGCCTTTATTATAAATGGAGTTTGGACTTTCGAGTGCCTCAAAAGCAACCAGCAAACCGTTACGGCTGACATCACCTCATAGTGAACTTCTATAATAAAGACCATGCTACTCCCCACAACCTGTTCAAATCATAAAGATGCCTTTACCCAGGATGACTTCCCGATCATATGGCCCTATAAATCCACTGTACACGATCGTACAAACCCTGGAACACTTCTAAGAGCTCAAACGCCGGGGTCTGAAACCCAAACCCCCTAAACCCTAAACCCTTAGGGTTTAGGGTTTAGGGTTTAGGGTTTAGGGTTTAGGGTTTAGGGTTAACCCCCTAAACCCTAAACCCTAAGCCCCAAACCCACCAAGCCGCGAGAGAAACTGCGAGGCCCTCGCCCAGCCATAACGCGCTCCAGCCACGCAGGCAGAGTCTCGCCGTCTGCACCGGTGAAAGACTGGCTCCCAACCTCCGGGGATCCGGGTCTCGGCTTTAGGGTTTAGGGGTTTAGGGGTTTAGGGTTTAGGGGTTTAGGGTTTAGGGTTTAAGGTTCGGAGGAGACATGGTCTGATAGTTTTTATGGTAGGAGTTGAAACACCCTGACTTCCTCTGTTCTGAAACTTATCACCGTACCGAACGGGCGCCTCGACGCCAAAGATTTATAACCATTCCCACGCCCTAACATGCGAGTTGTAACAATGATAATTAAGAAAAAAGGGCTCGGGGTGTATTTTCGCCGTAGAATTATATAGGTATGTAACTATGTATACATCTGTATATATATATATATATATATAGAGAGAGAGAGAGAGATAGGGATTACTTGGAAATGCCATGTCTGTTCTATCAAAGACTCATGTTACGATAATTGGAGGCAATGCATCTGTGAGTAAAAAGGATCTGACCAACAACTGTGACCACTTGCAACGCAAGCGAAATCTCCCTAAACCCTAAACCCTAAGCCCTAAACCCAGAGCCCTGAACCCTAAACCCTTCTTCACCTCAAGCCAGCGCAAACCTGGACTTCGTCAGGTGCAGCTGACCAGCTCTCTTCTTTTTGACCATGAAGACAATCGACGAGTTAAAGGTTGCGACTTGTTCGTGATGGGGGGCTTTCAACGGCACATAAAAGTCCTCGGTTCAGCCGTACAAACATGCCCACGTGAAGGCATGGAGCGACGAGGCAAGTCTCGGCGATCTCGGTCCGGCCGAAATATAGCCGCGGGAACTCTAAGAGCGGCTGGTCCGACGGAGGCCCCTCATCGTACTCGTCGGACTCGGACACAGAGGAAGCAGGTGAAACCATACTTGGGGTTTAGGGTTTAGGTTAGGGTTTAGGAAAACCGTTTAATAATGCAAGTAGCCAAAGCAACCGCAAATACTCGAAGTACCCTAATTGAGTACATAACATTCCCTCGATACCCTAACTACAAACTAATCGAAGGAGTCTCTGTGTTGGCTCTCTACATTCTGCGGACTTAACAGGTTTCAACGCAGAGGTTGTCGATTCACTATTTGATTGTTGTTGTGAGGTTAAGCTAAACCCTAAACCTAAGGCACGATATCTTCCGAAACTCCCAACTGACTTGATGACAGGGCTTGGGACTTATGCTTTCGGGATTGGCGTTTAGGTTTGGTTTTATGTTGCGTGGGGTTTTCTAGACGCTTCATGCATCGGATACAGAAAGACAGAAAGAGCTACACCAACCCTTAAGCACCTAAAAGCCCCTAAACCACTGAACTCTCAAACTAAGTTCTCAACCCCGAACTCGCCATGGAGGCGTCCGGAGGAATGGGCTTAGAGCTTCGAGGTTTAGGAAATTGGGATCTAGGGGTTTCAAAGGTTTTACCGCTCAGGATTTGCGGTTTACGGAGTTTCGGGGTTTCGTATACCTCGGGCCATACTGGGCCGTACTGAGCCACTTGGTGGATGTTGTGGGCCGCACCGCAGATCTCAAATCAAGTTCAAGCCAACGAAACCGTAACCGAAAAAGCTGCCCCGTTTCTACCCAATGCGAAGGTTTGGGTATGGGATGTGATCTTTGTTAATCTCAGCTTCCCAGAGCTGTCCAGAAACATGAACTCACCCACCGCCATACATTCTCGCCTTAGACCTATGCCTCAGAGCCTCAGGGTGCAAGTCCCTGTAGTGATCATGTGCTCTCCCGAATACTAACCTATACATCCTAAACGTATGTATGAGGCCCTGTTGGTCGCTAGAATATGCAGCATGCTGCAGTGCTTGCCTCTTCATGGTCGAAGGAGACGGCAACGCAAATGTCCTAGCCGAATGCTTTCCGCCGACATAGACCCAATCGTAGACCCCCAAACCAATGAACCCTAAACTCTAAGCGCGATAAACTGGCAACATTATCATTAATGAAGCAGGATTGTATAGGGAGAGTACTAGGCTTGCGGTATACTTTGGTACACTGCCTTTAAGGACTGCAAATGGTTGTTCTTGCTTCGACTACAATAGAAGCCGGAAATTTGGCACATCATAATATGGGGGCCTTGATAATTCGCCTCGCCCCCCGGCCGAAGCGGTCAGAGGTTCCTGTTCGGACTTCCTCTAAGACCCCACCTCTAATCCCCTCCCCAGTGACCCCCTCATCCGCTCCGCCGGCGCCTTCAGCACCAGAGTTCGTTGGCCCTCTTTGTTTGCGGCCGGGCCGAGGCGGACGACGCGAAGCGTTTAAAATTAGAATAGGGTTTTGAGGAACATTATACTATGATTATAATAAGGAGCCCCCAACATATAGTATTGGTAATTATTTAGGCCCCTATTTTATCCTCATGCCCTAAATGCCTTTTGAAGAGAATTCCTGTTCAGGTTTTAATGTCCACCGCGGCCACGGGCCTGTGGCTTCCATTGCTTTTTTGGGAGGGGCGGAGCGGCAACATCAATATCGGTAGTTCTTTAAATTAGGGACCCCAAAAGGGAGCCTGATTTAGAAAACTACCCATATGTCTTCTCAACTTTTCCCGTTTTCCATCAGAGCGCCTGAAAGGGGGGTCATGGCTTTTAAGTCCTCCAAATAGTACGGCACCCTTATTAAAAAGGCCCCTAAAAGGGACCCGTCTTTTTTAAAACTACCCAAATCGAGGCTTTACCAAGAACCGACCCTGTCTTCCGCTCACTTTCTTACACAGCTATCGGTGCCCTGTAGTCTTCGAGGGCTTTACTTGGCGATTATTGACTCAAAAGCATCAAAGTCCATCCAGCTCCATACTCCCTAAAGCCTAAAAACACCCTGTGAAGCCTGTAAGCTGTGAACCGTTTTCATAAAACACCTGTGAAACTCTGTAATGCCCTATAAAGCCCCATGTACGAACCCCTGTATTTGCTCAGACAGCTCTGCGTCCTTGGCCTCTGCAATGGCCTCTTTCTCGGCATAGTCGCAGAGGCCCTGGCGTCCAGGAGCTTGCGTGAAAGTTTGGGGTCGGAGCTTAGGGTTTCGGCAGCATAAATTCTTAACTGATGAGATCGATGACGGCTAAGCCGACCGCGATAAACTCGGCCACCGGATGCCATCTGTGCGATCCGTCGTCTTCCTCGCAAAGCTTCACGGAAACCCTATCTAAACCCCAAACCCCTAAACCTGACTGGATGCGGAGGGACACAACCTGCGACAATCTGCCACAAAGTAACAGCATGTCCTCAGATCCGTCTGATTGTGCTGCCCCGGCTTCCATCAACAGGAATACCCAAACCAGAATTCATACCTGTGATACATGTCCACAGGGTCCATATGTACTACTATAATTATGGAATTAAGTCCCCCAAAACCAGAACAACCCAGGCGTCTCGCGCGGCTGTGGTGCAGAGACAGCGTCTTTCTCTTGGCCTAAACCCCAAACTCTCAACGCTGAACTCAAGCTGAAACCCAAAGCCCCTCAACCCTACCACACCTTTAACCCCTGAGCCGTAAACATACCCCAAACCCTATAGAACCCTCAAGTAGGGCCTGTATTGAACCATTACGGTTTGGGGTTTCGGGGGTTAGGGTTTAAGGTTCATGGTTAAGGGTTTGGGGTATGTGTTGAAACAGGAGTTCTCTGTTCGGACAGTCGCGGTTGGGATCTCGAAATCAGAATTACACGTAAGCTTACGAATGAGAAAGTCCTCGGAAGCCTGTGATATCCGATCACACTGAACACTCACAAGTAGGAACTGAGGAACCCAAAACACCTAAACCAAAAAGTCTAACCCTGAACGCTGAATCCCAAGAGAAAGCTCAACATACACCCCGTACAACTCTTTAGTATTGTGCTTGCAAGGCAATGGGGTTCGGGCCCAAAATTTCAAGGATGTGGATTTTGGCCGGAAACGTTGGCCTTGTCGGGTCAATATCCGCAAAACTCGAAGCCCCCTAGACCCTAAAACCCTGACCCCTAAATCCCAAGCCAAGAACTTGAAACCTCAGTTTTCAGCTTCGAAATATAAGACCGCAAGCCCGAACTCTTACAGCCTAAATTCTAAACCGTAGAAGCTTGAACCCTGGGTGCTCAGATAGCCGACCTACACCCTAATCCCAAAGCCTTGAACCGCTAAGCCGCTGAGCCTTAAACTCTAAACCCCAAACCCCCAAAGCCTTAAAACCTAAACCTTAGGGTTTAAGGCTTTGGGGGTTTGGGGTTCAAGGCTTTGGGGGATTAGGGTTTGGGGCTATGGGGGTTTAGGGTTTAGAATTTAAACTTCCAAAGCCTCAAACCCCTAAAGAGGTAAGCCTGGATGGCGCCCCAGGTCGACAGTTGGTTGTCAATCCGAGGTGAGGAGATAAACTCCTCGCGAGAGGGACTTGGCTTAGGTTAAAAGGTTGAAACCCATAGGCTGCATAGTAGTTCCTTTTGGTGGCTTATATTTAGGATCCTATTGGGGAATCCCCAAAAGGAACTACTACGGGGCCTATGGGTAGAGCTTATATGGTTTAGGCTGGGTTTGAAGTTTAGGGTTTAGGGGTTAGGGCGTAATTTAAGGCTTATAGGGTTTATGGTTTACGGGGAGTTTACTTGAACAAATCAAACCGCCACCCGCTTTCATCGCATTGGAACCCAGGTGCAGCAGAGAATCCTCATGGACTGCTTATAGCTAGGATCCCCAGCAGCCTAGGAAGCAAAAGGGTCTCTTTTTTGGCACTGGGGAGCTTCATAAGGAACCTCAGACCACAAAGAAAGGAAAAAAAGGGGCTCACTGGGAGATCTGGTATAATGACTGAAGTGCAGCACTTGCTCACCGCCAGCCCAAAGGCGCCCAGGCCAGTCCCTGTCAGTGAACATGGAGTGGAAGTGCTTCCGGGGCGTACTTCCTCCTTCCGACAAGAGCCCGGCTCTTAGCACGCTTGTGCTTGCTGCGGTTTGGTGCCAGCGGCTCTGGAGACCGTCCTCTTCCAGAAGAAGGGCATGGCTGTCCCATGCCTGAGCTCGTAGGTGACTTCGATCTTTAGGGATGCCTGTCGGAGTCGTGGCTTTGTGTGCGAATTGTGGAAAGTCCCGAGCGGTCCCCCCTTCCAAGCTCCAAGCCTGCTGAGTATCCCATCGATGGAGCCTGGGAAAAGCACAAAGATGGCAGGTCTACGCCTCAGACTCCCTGATCGTTGCAAGGCTCATCCTTGGCCTCGGACAGCTTTTTTCGAGCGCTTGACACGTGACCGTTTCGTCCCGCAAGGCTACTGCCAATTGGACTCAACAGGAATCACCCATAAAACACTAAATCTAAACTCTAAACCCTAAACCCTACGTCCTAAACCCTAAAACATAAACCCTAAATCCCCCTAAACGGCTCTGGTATGGCTTCCAGAGGTCGTCTTGCGCTCAAAGAGTTCCTTCGGGGGACCTGTGCAGGCTGGAGGTTTACCCTAAACCCTAAAGCCCTAAACCCTAAACCTCCAGCCTGCACAGGTCCCC